CGTGGCAGGGACCCAGCTCCTAAGCAGACCCCGCTGGGCACCTGCTCTGAGCAGACCCCACTGGGTGCTCCTTGCAGACTAGCGTGGTCCATGAGCGGAACTCTGCGGATGTGGAGCCGCTTGGCCTACGGTTCTGACTCACAGGCAGCTCTGCCTCTTCAGTCCTCGTTGCTGTCTTGGAGGAGATCACAGCTCCTGGACAGCCTGGCTTGGCTTGGCCTAGAAGGAAACCTTCAGGGGCTGGTAGATGTTGTCCCTGCCAGAGTGACTTGACCTCTTGATATGGGGCCCTCAGGCCGACGGACTCTGAGACTGCAGATTGTGTAAATGCTGGCGATGAAGGAGCCCACCGGGGCGCGTTTCATAAGCTCCCCGTGGGGAGGAAGTGGGGATGGTGTCACTGAGAGGGCAGCTTTCCTGTGCTGGGGGAACCTGAACTCTTTAGAGAACTCGCCCTGGAGATGCTGGGCACGTGGGCCCCTCTGGAGGGCTTTCTGGGACAGAAATGGTCTCCCTCACTTGTATTCCCAGGACCTGGCACCGAGTGGAGGTGTGAATGAGTTCATGTTGAGCCCTGACATTTTGTGAGATAAGAACAGCCCACAAGGGCCCTGGCTGGGTAGCTTAGTTGGTTAGAGCGTCCTCCTGATAGGCCAGGGTTGCCGGTTCGATTCCCGGTCAGGGACGTACAAAAACCAAGCAATGAGCCCTGGCTGGGTGGCTCGGTTGATTGAAGCATCGTCCCATGCACCAAAGAAAGGTTGCACTTGGGTTTCCAGTTGGGGCTCATGCCTGTGTTCGGGGTTCAATTCCTGCTTGGGGAGCCTGCAGGGATGGCAGGTGGGGGGCAGCCGATCGATGTTTCTCTTTCTCTCTCAAAATCAGTAAAAACATATCCTCAGGTGAGGATTAAAAAAAAATCAACCAATGAATGCATAAGTGGAACAACAAATCGATGTTTCTCTCTTCCTCCTTTCCTTTCTCTCAAATCAATCAATTAAAAAAAATAAAAATAAAAGAATAGCCCCACAAGGATTAGACAATTGTGAATTTCCAGATCACTCTAAACCAGGAACATGGGTCTGAGGGAAAGCAAAGATGACAGAAGTTTCTGGTGGTAACTGGATTTAGTATCACATCACCTCCACCCTCATGCCAGCCCACCCTTCAGAATGAGTGTGGCCCAGAGTGGGGGCGCTCAGGGGTGACTCCTTAGTCCCTTTTGGGAAGCCCTTTCAAGATTGGACTCTGAGGTGGGGTCTCTTAAGGAGTGGGCCTTGCTGAAGGGGCTGGCACAGGGGTCTGGCTCACGCCAGGGCGGGCGAAGGCCTGGCGGGGGCCTCGAATCACCAGGTCTTCGCTCTGGTCCTAGTTCAGTCAGCTCTACTGTTAAGCTCACCATGTTCCCCACTCTCAGGCCCTCAGACAAGCCCTTGGTTGGCAGGACATAGGAGGGGAACGGGGTGCAGCGGGAGAGTGCTGGCCGCCTCCACGGAGGGAGAGTTCCCAGGTGTCAGGCTGGGGCCCTGCTCCGAGCTCTGGTCTTGCTCCTTGGAGGGGGTGCTGCTCAGTTGCCAGTGGACAGCTCCGGCCGCTGGCAGTTTCCACTCTGTGACTCGGGAGAATAATGATAGCACCTTCCAGGTTGTGGGACTTCAGTGAGTTAACCACGGCAGGCACTCAGGACAGTGCCTGGTACTTGGGAGGGCATCAATACGTAACTACTGTCCTTCCCTAAAGCGTGGCGTCCATACGAGTTTCCCAATGTCACTGCAACAAATGACCACACAGCTCGTGGCTTAAAACAGCACGTCTATTCACTTACACACGTCTGCAAGGGCCAGCCGGCCTGCATTCCTTCTGGAGGCGCTGGCAGAGAGAATCCATGTCCGTCCGCGCCTTTTCCAGCATCTAGAGCAGTGGTTCTCAACCTTCCTAATGCCGCGACCCTTTAATACAGTTCCTCATGTTGTGGTGACCCCCAACCATAAAATTATTTTCGTTGCTACTTCATAACTGTAATTTTGCTACTGTTATGAATCGTCATGTAAATATCTGATATGCAGGATGTATACTCATTGTTACAAATTGAACATAATTAAAGCATAGTGATTAATCACAAAAACAATACGTAATTATATGTGTGTTTCCCGATGGTCTTAGGCGACCCCTGTGAAAGGGTCGTTTGACCCCCAAAGGGGTCGCGACCCACAGGTTGAGAACCGCTGGTCTAGAGGCCTCCTGCATTCCCTGGCTGATGGGATGTCTTCGGAGCCAGCAGTGTGGCATCTTCCGGTCTTGCAGCCAGTCTGTCCCTCCCTCCCCTGCCCTCTCCTGTGGTCATTGTTTCTCTGACCCTCTTGCCTGCCTCCTACAGGACTCTGTGATACATAAGGATCCACCGAGGGTCCAGGATAACTCATCTGAAAATCCTTAACTTAATCATCTCTGCCAAGTCCCTTTGGCCGTATGAGATCGCATAGCCACAGGTTTGGGGGGTTGGGGTGTGGGCCTCTTTGGGGTGACATTGTTCTTCTATCACTGGGTCAGATACCATTCCAGAGATCAGGTGGGGTGGGGTGGGGTAGCAGCCTCCAGCTCAGATCTGTTCATGGGCTTGTGAATGGAAGGCCAAGGATTGAGTCTCTCACCTGGGGAAAGGGCCGGCCGGTCAGCCCGCGTGTGAGTACACCAGGGCCGGGAAGGCAGCTGCGGGGAAGCCGCGCGTCTCCGGACGTGGGAAATTTCTGGTAGCTTCGCATGCTCTCCCAGACTATGCTCAGGGCGTGCTGTTGAGCCCCGGAGAGGGATCTGCTTGAGATTCCAGGTGAGCACCTGATGCTTGAGAACCAGTGAGGACGTTATCCGAGCAGGGGAAGAGCACGGAATTCATTGTTCCAGGCCTGGTGTCAAATTCCATCCCGGCCACTTCTTGGCTCTGTGACCCTGGAGTCCCTTCCCTCTTTTAAGTCTTGCTCATTTCTGTGTGTGTAATGAGAAAATATACTACCCACCTCAAGGAGGCACTTGAAGGCCAAATGATGTTAGGTGCCCACATGTTCGGGTGTCACGTGGCGCTGGGCTCCAGGGAGTGCACGGGCGTGTGATGCAGGTACCGCAGAGCCTACGAAGTCAACGGGCAGGTCATGAACCAGGGCACCTGTCAGGTTCGAGGGTCAGTGCCGCAGACTCCAACAAGAGACGCTGCAGGCCAGAGAGACTGCAGCTGGGCCTTCACGGGGAGGTGGGGTTCAGACACGAGAGGAGCCGGGGTGGGAGGAGGCATTGAGGCAGCAGGGGTGGCACCCTCAGAGGCTGGAACACCTCTGGCCTGTTGGGAAGACAGATCCGATGGCTGTGGGGAGATGGAAGGGTAGGGAGAGGCAAAGGAGCCACTGAAGGTGTTTAAGTAAATAAGCTGGGGCCCATGTTACCATTTATATTTACTTGGTTTTTGTTTTCTTTTTAACGTCTTTTTCTCCCACTAGATTATAAGCCACATGAGAGTAGGGACGACTATGTGTTTGTTTCCTGTTCTATCTGTGAGCATTCAGTAAATATTTGTTGAGTGAATAAATGAGTGAATAACTTAACTGAATCCCCAGATAATTACGTTTTGCTGTATTGACTTAAGTCCTTGACAAACATCAGGTGGAAGGTGGCGTACTCAGAAGATTGATCCGGCGCTGGTGTGTGGAGTGGCGGGAGGAGGGAGAGGCAGGGGTCAGTTAGAAGAGGCGGCCTGCAGAGTGGAATGCTGAGGGCCTCGACCACCGCAGAGGGGAGGAGTGAAACCGAAGGGAAGAGTCTTGGTAAGAGATTAGCAAGATGGGCATTCAAAGCTAAATGAGGCGTGATCTCCACCACAGGGGAGAGATGGAGCTGGAAGGAGGTCAGTGCCCTACAGAATGAGGCCCTCAGGAAATGACAGGAGGGGGTGCAAGGTTAAGATTGAGGGCCCCACAGCTAGTTACCCCCTTTCTTTTCTTTATTATTATATTAATATTTTTAATCCTCACCCAATGATTTGCTTTCATTGATAGAGAGAGGGGGGAGGAAGGGAGAGAGAGAGAAGTAGAGAAAATGATCGTATGCCTCTCATACCCATTGGGCGGGGGCAGGGGGTGGGGTGGGGGTAGGGAGATGAAGTGGGAGGATGCTCCAACCAACGGAGCCACCCTGCCAGGGCCACAGCTAGTATCTTTTGTTGCAAATTCGAGCCCCTGGGGACAGGAAGATGAAGTCAGAGGTGCAGCCAGAAGGCCACACAGCTGGGGTTCCCATGGCCACTTTCATCCCATTCTTTCCACCCCTCCTCTCAGTTTATAGATCACTTCCTCTGGGAGCCTCCCCATGCCCCTTCTGTGCCCTTCCATGTGGCATGCCCTGCCTCAGCCGTGGTTCTGATTTCCCTTCTTAACTACGTCGTCCCCCCATTAAACTGCCCCCACACACATGAGGCCAGGTCCTTTGTGGTCTTGCTCATTATTATGGGGTTGAATAGGTGGATGGATGGATGGATGGGTCTCAAGGAAATATGGAAAAAGGATGAGAGAGAAACAAAGCAAGAAGCTAGCGTAGGAGCCCTAGCCAGTTTGGCTCAGTGGAAAGAGCATTGGCCTGCGGACCAAAGGGTCCTGGGCTCGATTTCAGTCAAGGGCACTTCCCTTGGTTGCAGGCTCCTCCCCAGCCTGTGCAGGAGGCAGCCAATTATGTGTTTCTCCCACATCGATATTCGCTATTTCTCTCTGTCTTTCCCTCTCTCTTCTCCTCTCCCTAAAAAAAAAGAAAAAAAATCAATGGAAAAGCATCCTCAGGTGAGGATTAACAAAACAAAAAAGAAGCTAGTGTCGGAATAGGGTGTTTTTCCCTTTATATTTTTGTAGTTGCCACATTCTCTAATAGGTGTGTTGGGCATTTACCCCATCAAAAGTGTGAGTGAAAGAGGAGATAAAAGGAAGAAGACAGCCCGCTCAGGATTCTGGTTTGCTCTCACACAGGTGGAAGCAGGGAAAGGCCTGGAGATGAGGAAGCTGGTGCTCTCAGGGTTCCTGGCCAGCGAGGAGATCTACATCAACCAGCTGGAGGCCCTGCTGCTGGTGAGTACATTCTCTGCGCCTCCTGGAATCCCCCCCACCCCCACCCCGTTGGACAGTGTCATGCTCCTAAACTGCTGTTGGAGTCGGAAGGAAAGAGGACCTGAACTAGCCGTGGGGTCATTGCCAGCAAGGGCCTGTGCCTCGCAGCCGCCACCCGCCATTACCTGCCCAGGGGGAGGCGGGAGTAGAGGCACCAGGAGGTTGGGGGTGGCAAAGGCCCCATCACCCATGACAATGGCACAGGTGGTACTAATGGATCTGCCCAGGGCGGGGTCTGCCACCACTTCCACACTGGACCCTGGGAGTTCCCCATCCGCCAACACGTTGAGACCTTTTTTCAGTGCTGGTCCCCGCCCTCCCTCCTTCCTGCAAGAGTGAACCATTTGTGCACCCAAGGCTCTCGGGCAGGAAGTGTGAGGTGGGGGGCTCCCTGCTGTTTGGAGAGGCGTTAGACCAACCCCGGCCCTTGGTGAAGGTGCCTGGTTTCCTCTCCAAGCCGGAGGAATCCTATGAAGATCCTATGTGAGAATCCTATGAAAATGCTTCACTGATTTGAAATAGTGGGTGAAGCCAGAATACCGTGAAAATGTTTTCCAAAGGGAAAAGGACTGCTCAGGTGTAGGGTGTTTCTGCCTTTGAAGAAAGCGCTTATTCGATGCACCTGAATTTGAACGTGAAGGGATTGTGGCCCCTGAAGTTCTAGGTCCGTAGACACTCGTTCTTACAGGAATTGTTAGATGCCCATGTTTGTACTTTTAAGATGTTGTCACGCAGCGTTCCAGGGGACGTGGCATCTGTTGGTCAAGGGATAACGGCTGAAACGTGCAGACTCTTAGTAACACACCGACTGAGTGTGTGGTCATTCTCACCGGGACTTTATTGGAAGGCACAGTCGTGCTTCCAAGTGAGGGACAGTACGGCAGATCCATGAGGGCTCTGGTCTGGGGCGGGACTAGACTCTGCATTAATGACAGGCTTATTGCACTTTTTACAAACTGGGCGTCTTGACCATGAATGGGTTGAACGAGCATTTAAATGCAAATGAGAAAGAAAGTACCAGCACGTGTCACATAATAAGTACCGTATCATGAAACTGGTGGTGTGTTGTATGTATGTGTGTGTATATGTACAGTATATACTGGTCCATATTATTCTTTACATGTGTTGTAGGGTTTGAAAACCACTGGCTTTGGGCAAGCCATGCATAACCTCCTGCAGCCTCACTTTCCCCGTATGAGGATGAGAGTAATACCATTACCATCTCTCTCTTCCGTGGGGGTGAGAGGACCAGGTGATCCTTTTTGGGACCTGGTACAGTGCCAGGTGCTTAGGCACTCAAATACACGGTGTCCCCCAAAAATGTATACACATGTCCAATGATTATAAAGTCAGTCTTTGTTAACACAGAGCTCATTTTCAAAATTTAAAAGGAAGCTACAGAAATGAATAATTTTTGTGACAATGCCTGTTTTCAAACTGATGACCATTCCGGTCCAGGCACTGCTGATAATACGAAGCAGTGAAATCCCAAACATCAAAAATCATTGTGTTAGGTGTTCGAGCACCCTCAATTCATCGACTGTTGCCAGTTTTGTACCATAAACTTTATCTTTTATGTATCCCCATAAAAAAAGGGGGGGGCCCTAGCTGGTTTGGCTCAGTGGATAGAGCGTCGGCCTGCGGACTGAAAGGTCCCAGGTTCGATTCCGGTCAAGGGCATGTACCTGGGTTGCGGGCACATCCTCAGTAGGAGATGTGCAGGAGGCAGCTGATCGATGTTTCTCTCTCATCAATGTTTCTATCTCTCTCACTTCCTCTCTGTAAAAAAAAAATCAATAAAATATATATAAAAAATTTTTAAAAAAATAAAACTCAATCTGGCTTTACCCATTATTTCAAATCAGTTAAACTTGGAACGGAATGAAAATTAACTGAGTTGTCATTTGTTAATGTGTGTGCACACCTTGTTTGGACGCACTGTGTTATCTGAAGGAGGGAGAACAGGCAGGTGACCAGCCAGATACATGTGAAATGCACTTTACAAACTATGAATAACTGTACCAGAATTCGGGGGCGTGGTTGTCATTACTAAAAGGATACATATTTGGAAGGACCCCAGTTTTCATTGGACCCCAGTTTAAAAAAAGGAAGAGGGGTCAGGCTCTCCATCCCCACTTGACTACTTACTAGCTCTAGGCCTTCTGCAGATTACTGAACGTTTGCACCTCAGTTTCTCCATCTGCAGGCTGGGTATACTAATATTAGTACAGTAGGTGCCTGTTATAATGTTGATGAGATGCCTAGAGACTTAACTCTTGTTTATGTCAATTAGCCGATGGTAAAATTAGTTCCGCTTAAAGCCACAGAACCTATTAAAGGCATTGAGGACTTAACAGTTCTCAACCTGTGGGTCGCGACCCCTTTGGCGGTCGAATGACCCTTTCACTGGGGTCGCCTAAGATCATCCTGCATATCAGATATTTACATTACGATTCATAACAGCAGCAACATGACAGTTATGAAGTAGCAACGAAAATAATTTTATGGTTGGGTCACAACATGAGGAACTGTATTTAAAGGGCCAGAAGGTTGAGAACCACGGACTTAACTGTTTAAGGAGTTGCTGTGAGGATTCTATGAGTTTGTAGGGGAAGCTCTTGGAAAAGAGTCCAAGTATTAGCTGACACTCTTATTTCTCCAGTGCTGGGAGAGAGTGCAGGTTAGGGCCTGTTTGTCTCTGTCAGCACAGCCTTTCCCTGAGGGGAGGGGAGGCCTGTTTCTTATCTGTCATTGGGCCTGACTTGAGTTTCCGTTTGTTGGCAAAGATAACTACAGATTTAGGGGCCAAGGCACTCCCCTCCCTGCCTCCCTTCCTTACAGCTCCTGCCCCAAAGGCCAAAACTGAGGCTGAGACCCCTCCTCTCCCCCCAGTTTGCTCATCCTGAGCCCCTGATTGGTTCTTTCTTGAGCCGAGGCCAGGGAGGGCGGGATCAGCTAGGAGGCCTGTTGGAGGCTGGAGAGCTCCAGGAAGAGGGGGCAGGACCCTCCCCAGCCACAGCCTCAGATGATATGCCTCCCAGATAAGGACTCGGCCCTCTTCCCCTCCTCCTTGAACCGGGAGCCCTCCCCTCTCAGCTACCTGGTAGCTAAGCCCTTTGCTTTTTGGGGTGAGCTGACAAAGGGGCTCAGAGGAGAAGAAAATCTGTCCTCTCTGAGCTCCCGCCTCCCCCCACACCCAGATCTTCTCTTCACCCCACCCCCATTCCCACAGCTCTTGGGGTGTGATTGTTCTTAGCTTAACACTTCCTGATATGCCATCTGTGAGGTGTGTGTACCTAAGCCTGTGTACACACACAGGGTCACCCCACAGGAGCCTCTGTTCCTGCCCCCTGGGTTGCTGGCTGGTCATCTGGACCCTCCAGGTTCCTGGGGGGCTCAGATTATAAGTGGAGTGGGCCTGAGAGCCTGGGCCGAGGTGGAGGGGGCGGGGTGGAGGAAGGGAGACAAACCAAACTCGTGTAGTTCTGCACCTCCCTTCTTCTTCTTCTCCTTCCTCCTCCTCCTTCTCCTCCTTCCTCCTCCTCCTTCTCCTCCCTCCTCCCCATTTTCCCTCCTCCCTCTCTCCCCTGAGTAACAATCTGGGTTCTGCATCTGGCTGCACCCTCACCTACAGCATCCCCTACCCCAGACCACAGCTGGCCCTCCTCCCGTAGACTGTCATTCTGGCAGTGGCTTTGTCGTTCCCAGGCCCGTGGGCTCAGGTTCCTTGTCTGTGAACTAGGTTACTGATGCCCAACTGCCTGGGCCCCAGGGAGCAGGAGGCTGAGGTGAGGGTTGGTAAGCAGGCCTTGCCGGCAGCCTGCAGGCCTCCCGGGATAGGAGGGGAGGAAGTGGCCGACTTCTTTCCCTTTTCGAAAGGCAGGTGGCTGGAGGACGGAGCAGACAAATGGCAGTGTGGACCCCACGGGGAGTTTGAACCGCCCGGCCTGTCTTCCTGAGAAGCCACTCATGGGCAATCGAGAGCCAGGGCTGGCTCTGAGGCCTCGGGGATCCTCCTGGCGATTCCCTTTCTCCCCTGACAGCCCCTGCAGCAGGATTGCTAGCGGGGTCACTGGCAGGCTAGCTCTCTGGCACAGGAGCAGTGCTGGGTGGCCTGTGCCTGTCGCCCAAACCACTGAGACCTGTATTTGGGGATGCACCAGATAAACATGACTGCCGCCCTCGCCAGTTTGGCTCAATGGATAGAGCGTTGGTCCGAGGACTGAAGGGTCCCGGGTTTGAGTCCAGTCAAGGGCATGTACCTAGGTTGTAGGCTCCATCTGGTCCCTCTCACATTGATGTTTCTCTCTCTCTCTCTCTCTCTCTCTCTCTCTGTCTCTCTCTCCCTCTCCCCCCCTTCTTCCTCTCGCTCTAAAAATCAGGGGGAAAATATCCCCGGAGAGGATAAAAAATATTATAATAATAACTGCCTTCAAGGGTCTCTGGCCAGCCAGGAATACACACCCAGTGCTTCTCCCCCCCCCCCCCCCCCCCCCCCACCCCCCCGGAACGAAATCACAGCGAAAACCGAAGGTCCCCAGCCTTGTCCTGAGAGCCATCTAATGCCCGTGTAGGCCTGTCCGTGTGACCGCTGCTAGTGAGCGCCCATTTCTTCCCCTTTTGTAGACAGAGTGGGAAGTTTAGGAGGAAGCAGAGCAGTTGTGTCTTGTCCCTGCGTGGGTGGCACATGAGTGCTTCCCCAGCAGCTTCTGAGAAGTCCTGACTCCTGCATCTTCCCAGGACGGTTCTCTCCCTATTCCTTCATTCCCTCCTCGGTGGAGGTGGAGGTGACCATGGCAGGCACAGGGATGAGTGGTTCGGGGGCTCTGTGGTGACTTGGACCCTCCACTGGCCCCTGGGTAGAAGGAATAAGGATAAATTACGACAGTGATCCTGCGAGCCCACTCTGTATCCTTCATGGAGGGCTGGGAGCCATGAAGCTGAGGGTGGCCACAGCTTCATGGGAGAACAGTATTCCTTTTTTCCTGGCTCCGGGTTCCTTCTGTCTCCCTGTCCGGCATGCTTACCCAGGCCCCACCCCTCCACCTACTCAGATCTTCCCAACCTTCAAGGCCTGTTCCTGTCACCTCCTCCGTGAAGCCCTCCGAGTTGCACCAGCACAGCCTTGAGATCAAGTCGGTTGGTGTTTACAGTCCAAGTCATGGAATGCCTGTCTTGCTTTTGTCCACTAAGATATTTCATTTGTGTTGGTCCAGCTTACCCAAATAGAGTGTTCTCTAGAGCAAGGATCATGAGTCATAAAAATAATCTCCTGGAAAGAAAATTGGACCCCATCACTCCCCTACTTAAACCCCTCCGGGGAAAGCCAGATCACTGCTTGGGCTTAAAAGCCGCATTCCTTCCCCTGCATGATCTGGCCACGGCCCTCCCCGCCAGCCCCGCTCTGGGTCCCTCTCCTCCCCCTGCCCACTGCACACAGGCTCGCTGGCTGTATTCCAGCTCCCCTCTCACAAGCCTGTTCCTGCCTTGGGACTGGGCGTTGAGGCAGTCCGCCTGGAATACGGTCCCCTTTGCCCTTGCTTCCACATCAGGGTGAATGTCCCCTTCAGCACCTGCCTCAGGACCTCCCCTTCCTACTTCCCCCAGTGCGTGTATGTGTGATTATGTGTTTGGTAATTTCCTGTGTCTTGTCTGTCCCCCCTACTAGATGGGAGGCTCCATGGGGCCAGGGATTTGTGAATCATGGGACACATCCCTTCAAACTCCCCACCCCAGTCTTGTCTCACATTGTTAGGCACGTGGTACATTATTTGTGGGGTGAGTAGTAATTGTAGCAGCTAACTTTTGATTGCCTTCTATATGTACCAGGTACATACTCAATATTTTATATAAATAACTAGAGGCCCAGTGCATGAAATTCATACACTGGGGGGTGGGGTGTCCCTCAGCCCAGCCTGCACCTTCTCCAATCTGGGACCCCTTGGGGGATGTTCGACTAAACCGGCAGTTGGACATTCCTCTCACAATCCAGGACTGCTGGCTCCCAAACGCTCGCCTGCCTGCCTGCCTGATCACCCCCTAACCACTCCCCTGCCGGCCCGATCGTTGTGGCTAGGGCACCGCCATCTTTGAGGGCGTGGCAATTAATTAGCATATTCCCTCCTTATTGACTGTTGGCGCCACCATCTTTGAGGGTGGGGCAGTCAATTAGCATATTCCCTCTTTATTAGATAGGATGGCTTTTAATCTTCCCATCAGAGTTCTTGAGAAGGTAATATTATCCCAGTTTTACAAACGAGGGTGCTAAGGCCCAGAGAAATGACTTGCCGACAGCTATTAAGTGGTAGAGTCGGGACTCAAACCCACACTGCCTGGCCTGTACCACACATGGGGAACCCCACCGACTTCCCTAGCGAGGAGCTGGACATGAAGGGTTTGTTGGTTTCAGCGCTGAGAGGGTCAGAAGGAGGGCTTCTGCTTTTTCTTGCCTTTTTCATCACGTCTGGGCTTTTTTAGAGCTGGGAGGATGAGGGAGCCAGAAGCTGGAGAACTGTCTGGGTGTTTGAGTCGATGGAACTTCCTCTTGTGGACAAACTTGGGTTCTGCCACCACCAGATGGGAGGGTGGAATGAAGCTTGGCTGGAGTCTGGCTGCTGTGGCCAGCTCAGCTGGTGGTCATCTCTTAAAGACCATCTCTTAGTCCTCCCTCGGTGTGGGTGTTCCCTCCAGCCCAGCATGGAGTCGCCCATTTCTTGCCAGAAGGCTTCTCTTGTTGAGAAGCTCACACTAACCCTGTGACACAGTGGGGAACTGCCCCGTAACTTCTTGCTCTTCCTGGGTCTCTAGTGTGACCCAGACTATGTCAAGGGCCCCTTTGCACACATCAGCATGTCTGCTCCGGCTTCTCTCTTCCAGGGAAACATGCCCGCCCCTCCCATGCCTTCTCTTTGTGGCAGGTTCCCAGACGCTATCTCCTGGAGGGCCTTTGGAGTGCAGTCTGGGCGTCTTGGAGGGCTTTGGGCTGAAGGAAGGTCAACCAAAGAGGAGCTCTTTATCCTTCAGGATCAGTTGTTTGGTTTCAGCTTGAATTTTCATAGTGTTTTTTAAGACTATGTTTGTACTAGAGGCCCAGTGCATGAATTTGTGCACAGGTGGGGTCCCGGTGGCCCACCCCGATGGGGATCGATTGGGGCCGAGCCTGTGGTGGGGGAGAGGTAGAGGGGAGGAGGGGGTGCTGGAGGTTAGCCAACCGGCCCTGCCCCCAATCGTGGGGGGGGGAGAGATAGAAACATCAATGATGAGAGACAATCACTGATTGGCTGCCTCCTGCATGCCCCACACCAGGGATCGAGCTTGCAACCTGGGCATATGTCCTGACCGGGAATCAAACTGTGACCTCCTGGTTCACAGGTCAATGCTCACCCACGGAGCCACACTGGCCAGGCTATGAATTTTAATACCTTTTTATCCTAATTATAAAATTAATGCTTACTCCTTGAAGGTGATTTAGAAAATATAGAAAATCATACTGAAGAAAATACACACAAGCCCCGTTATCCCACAGTGCTCCTGTTGGGCATGAAGATGATGGATGGCTTCAGCTCCCAGCCGGTGCCGGGGGGTGGCCCTGAGTTATTGCCTGTCATCTCACCCTCTCCACCTTCAGGCGTGGAGCATCTTGGTGTGGGCAACAGAAATGACAGATAGGTTTCATCTTACGTGTCAACCTGGGCATTGAGAAAGAGTCTGTGACTACAGCCAGGCTCAGTGAGAAAGACCATTGTGACCACTCAGTGTCTGCCACAGATACAGGGAGCGGGACGGTGGCCTGTGTGCCACCTGTTCGCCGTCTCTAGACTCAGTGATGGGAGCTTGAAATATCAGCACAGCCGAGACTGGGCCTGGGTCTCTTCAAGACTCTACTCCCAAGTCCTAGGATCATGTTTTCTTTCTCAGTCCCTTCCACTGAAGTGCGTCAAGAGCTTATGACCGAGCAGAAGGCCATTGTGGAAAGAAGATGTGGATCCTATGAAACTGAAGAGCGAGCCTAATGCAGGCTGGAGGCGGGGGGCTCTTCAGGGCATGAGGGGTGGAGGCAATGTGTCCTGGTGCCCCCCCTTGGGCCTGGCAGGGCTGCTGGGCCAGGCAGGCTCTGGTCTCTCTCCTTGCAGTTGCACATGCTGGGGCCTGTGACAGCAGCTACATCCCACGAACCACACTTCAGGTGCCCTCTGTCCGTGGCCTTTTCTAGGCCAGCGGATGCCAACCGGTGGTCCATAGACCACCAGTGGTCCGTGAGGTCCGAAAGGTTGGCGACCACTGGTCTAGGCAGAACTCGGACATAATGGGGGGCTGGGGGGAGGAATGGGTCTCCTGGGCCTGCTGACACTCTGGTTTATCTGCGCTCTTTTTCCCTCCTCTCCCCCAGCCCATGAAGCCCCTGAAGGCCACAGCCACCACCTCGCAGCCCGTGCTCACCATCCAGCAGATCGAGACCATCTTCTACAAGATCCAGGACATCTACGAGATCCACAAGGAGTTCTACGACAACCTCTGCCCCAAGGTGCAGCAGTGGGACAGCCAGGTCACCATGGGCCACCTTTTCCAGAAGCTGGTGAGTGTCCCATGGACAGAGGGTCCTTCCGCAGGGCCTCGGTGGAGCTGCTGGTGTGAGTGCGGGCCAGTCAGCCCAGCCCTCCTGGTCTCCTTGAAGCTTCCTGAGTCCTGGAGGGAAGCCTGGGCCTCTGCTTTATGGGGAACCTGGGTGGGCCTGGTGCCTTGACTCCCAGCCTCCCTTCGTGAAGTCTAGAATGTCCTAGGGATGCTGGAGACGGGCCGTGTGCATCCGTGCTCCTGGCAGGACTGTTTCTCTCCCCTGCTGAGGCTCAGGTCTGCTATCCCTCAGCCGACAAAGGGGCACGTGCCTGGTGGATGGGCAGGGACTGCTCACCTTAGGCCTCCCGCACTTGCCGCCCTTCAGCGCGGTGTCTGAAATGACGTGTCCGTTGGGAGACTGTCAGTTCCCGCCCGCTCTGAGGACCCTGGAAAGCACTGAGAGCCCAGCCCGCCCAGCGTCGCAGGGGAGGGAAGAGCTGAGGGGGTAGCATTAGTGTTGGGAAAGGCTGGCCGAGGCCTTCTAGTTCCCAGAGCGTCTGCAACACCTTCTGTCCTCGCTCTGTGTCTGTGTCTGCCTGTGTCCCCTGGAGGACCCTCAGGTCGGAACCACGTGTCCCCCACTGGCTCTCTCCTGGGTTCATCCCCCATAACTTCTGCCAGCCCAGCGGGAAGGAAGGGAGTCAGTGGCCCTTGTTCTCAGGTGTGAATGGTGCGGGGTGGGAAGCAGCGCCTCTCTTCTGCCTTGCCCCCAACGCCGCCCCCACCCCCACCCCCGCGATGGTGGGACTGGTTGAGTGGACAGGCCTCTTTCTTTCACTGGAGAAAACTCTTACTTGACTACTCCCAGGGCTTTAAGCTCAGCACGTTCAAAACTGAACTCCTTGCCTCTGAAGTTCTTTGCTGTTCTTCCTGCCTCGTCTCCGTGGGTGCTGCCACCATCCCAGCCTCCATCCACCCGTGACT